TGCCAGGTGAGTAAAGTTACCCTTCCAGAACTTTTTCTTCCAGCGCTATATGTAGTATTACTTATATATATATATTTGGCTGTCACGCTGAGGTCCGTGAAATATGATGCAATTTCTGGCGCGATAAAGTTGCAAGGACGCCACGATCTCGAAGCACATCAAAATGTGAACTGTATGTGTTGACTTTGAGTGCGGGAAAGTTAGGGGTCCTTGTGGGTAAAGTTGCCAGATACTCTAAACCAAAGTGATTTACGGAATAAAGGATACTCAACTAGGGATAGAAGACAAATATTTTATAAGAAACTAAATTTTTTTGGATTTTATAATAAGTCTTTAAAAAGACGGTGTATATTAGATACATATAAAATTAAACAAGACAGAGGAGTTATTTATTTTTGGAATTTTAAAAAGGATGAAAGTAATATATTTTAAATATTCCCCATTTTTAGTTTTTACAAAACAACATTAAACTCATATATTTGCTCAATCACTATAGTATCTCCAATGAAGTTATAGTAAATTATCAAGCAGCAATCCAATTTTTTAGGGTATTCCTGCATTAACAAACTGCTAAAATATTTCGAGTAGTTTCCCCAAGAAAGAAATATGGCCAAGAAGTGAGCGTAAATAACAAGACAAATACAAACACACACACCTACTATTGGCAACATATGTAAGTGGGTATGTGTGCGCGGGGGCCATATACATATATAATTTTAGTTAAAAGTTTTATTTCTCACATATTTCATATTCTTGGCTGAAACTTTTTTCCACCTCGAGCATTTCCTTGTTTCATATTTCATCCCGAAAAAAGAAGGACAAAGAAAGAGACAGCACAGGAAGCGTATTTCCCAGCGAGAGAAAGCGAGAAGGGCGCTGCGGCGCATTCATTATTGTGTAATATTTTTACATTATTTTATTATAAATCAACAAAATGCACTCAACGCGGCAGAACAAAAATAAAAACAAAAAATGAGTTAAAAAGTTGCATCTACGTCGACGCCGGCAGAGACTGCAACTTCTGCTGCTGACAGCAGAAACACATTAAACGTCATAAAATGCACAACGCAGCGAAAAGTCGCCGACAACGAGGGGGCATTCGAGCCCTTTGCCCTTATAATTTATTTTTGCTTGAATTAATGTGAATACTTTTTACCACTTGGCTGCACCGAGTTGCCCCAGCTACCTGATAGTGGAGCATCCAGCTCCCAGTTCCCAGGCTGTGCCTCCTGATAAGGTAAGTGCTGCAGGAGACCCCCGAAAAATACTTAAAAATTATCATAAGTGCTGCGGGAGAAACCCAAAAAGCGAGGGTAACTCACTTCTGAGTTGCTTGTTGTCCACAAGGGCATGTAGTATATCCATTCCTCCTAATTTAGCATTTTGCAACACTTACATTCTTATATAGGGGAAATATTACAAATATATTTTAAGTTTCAGTATGATTATAGGTATTTTAGACTTGATTTGTTGTTAACATGGAAATTCTGAGTTCCATTTCTGTAATTGTTGAGTTCCATATTTAATATATCTACTTAAATAAAGAAAAAAATGACCTAAATCCTAAATCTGTTTAAGACACCTGTCTTAAAAACATATATTTATAGTAGTTATATTCTAATACTCATTAAATAATCATATGACTATTATAAATATATGTCTTAACTTGTCATGTCAGGCTAATAATAAGCCAAATAAACCATCATTGTGTTGAAAACCCCTCCTATAGAAGCGCATGTTTAAATACGCATCTGAGTGAATGCCTTTTCCAGAGAAATACCATATCAACTATAATTCCCGGGCTTCACAGTCAGCTTTGCGTAATTAGCACGGCCAGCCAGCCGACGAGAGTTGGTCAGAGTGTAGCCAAAAATGGACCGACCAGTGGGAAATGTGCATCATCATCAGCTGTCAACTGCCAGCTGCAACATGCTGCATGCGGCATCAGATGCGAACATGCAAGTTGTGCAGCGACTGTTGATAATCAAGTCAACATTAGAGAATATCCGCTCATGTGGACAGCGAGCTTCGCCGGACGGGCAATGCGGCGTATGCGCAATATTCCCCTTGCAGCAGAAGAAGCACCAGCAAATCTGGTACAAAACCAATAAAATTATTGAATGGAACCCAAGCATAAATCACAAAAATTCCTCACAAGCATGTAAAGAATATTTAGCATGTTGCCTGCTCGCTTGTTCTGTGTATTCTTGCGTTCATATAGATTTTTAATTTAAAACAACCTGAACGAAGGTAAGCCCGAGCACCTGTGACCAGGAAAATGCCCTCGAAAGGCCATTAGTTGTTTGTCCAGGCCTAGCCTAATGTCCTCTTGTCAAAGTCCGCACTCAGACAGGGCCAGGACCCTCACACTTACAGAGGAACAGAAGGACATTGAGAAGAAAATCTTCTCTTACTAGAAAGTAAAAGCAAAATGTTCTTGAACAGAATAAGCTAATTAAAAATTTGATTACGTTTTTACAGAATAAAATATCTCACATACTTTATATTTGTTGGATAGTATCTTTAAATTTATATTAAAATATTGTTTTATTATTTGACATAATTTTTTCCTCACACTCACAAAGGAACAGAGGGACATTGAGAAGAAATTCTTCTTTTACTGGAAAGTAAGAGCAAAATGTTCTTGAACAGAATAAGCAAATTACAAATTGGAATTGGAATTTTTACAGAATAAAATATCCGACAAACTTTATATTTGTTGGATATTATGATTAAATTTATATTTAAATATTTTATTAATACTTGCTGTAATTTTTTCTCAGTGTGACAGGACCGCCTGTGCATGCAAAACGTAGCAAGCAATAAAGAAGATTTGTGTCGCCGTCGCATTTTGCGGATACATTTTTACCCCTTCACGTTCTCTACTCATCTGTTACTTCTAGTACTGTCGTTTTTTTGCAAATTCTGCAGAAAATCTCGGGGCAGAGTAGAAGTCAAGTTTGGTTTGGGCTAATGACCACAGAATGGCTGCTGGCTGCAGTCACTCAGGTTGGTCCAAAGGACAGGTACAGACCGGGTTTTGTTGGGCTTTTGCATATGTAACTTGGCCGGAAAAGGATTGTGACAGGCAAAGGGGCAAAGGGAAAGTTTCTGGCCATATTTTGCTCAAATTAAATGTGTTGACTCATTGTTCATGATAAAATCATATTAAACAAGAATTAATTTAGATTGCTTGGACAAATACAGCTGTTTTCCATTTATAATATGTAGTTTATCTTTTAAGTTATTCAAAATGTGTTCTTTGTTTTTACTCTTCCTAACCTATCTAGATAATTAACTATTCAACAAGAGTTTAAAAATAAATTGACCTATATTTGGGCCAAAAGGCAAGCGACGGTTCTGATTTCAATTAGGGCATAATGCAATTAAACTCCCACCGTTCCAATTAGTATTGTGCAACATGTGGCTCACATCCACCCAAACATTATCGATTGGGTTTCTCTATACCTTCTGGGGCCTCTCCACTCCCTTTTTGAGTACCAGTCCACTCGGTTCCCATTAAATTCTCAACTCAACTTCCAACGTTTGCTCCCCAAGGATTACCGCAAATGCACAATGGTAAAATAATCATAATTGCATATAAAATGTTAATGGGCAATGGACCACGACCCAAACGGCAGCAAATGTTTGGCCAGCTCCTCGCCCTGTAAATACCAAAAAAAAAAAAAAAAAAAGAAAAAAGAAAATGGGAAACTTTTTAATACACCAAAGGACACATTTGGGCCCCACTTTTCCACTCCGCCCATCGAATGTGCGCGCCGCAAAATGCAAAAACAATTACGAAAACTTTGTTGCCGGGCACAGGAGCTGGGAAAACAAGGGAAAACTGAACTCCAAACCAAATGTGGGAAATTTCCCAAGCTCAACTTTATGCTGTTTTCCTTTCGCCCCCCAACTGGCTCGTTGCTTGTTGCTTTTTATTGGTTATTTGTTGGCATCTTTTCAGCGTTTTTTTTTTTACTTTCGCTGTGTGGATTTTTGCTTTCATGTTTTCATTGCTCAAAAACGGGGAGGAGTGGCAGTGGCCAACACTTAAATTTACATAATTTCCGCTCCAAGTCACCAATGTAAAAGCTTTGGCCAGGATCAGCTGCTCTTCGTCCAAAGGCGGCCCTTCTAACTTTCCCCACCCCATTTTCCCCTATTATATTTTTTGGTTTTTGCTCTTTTAAAAGCGCGGAAATGTTGGCAATATTTTAACGCTTCTATTTTAGTTGAATTTTGCCCCGTGTTTTCTGGACCGAGCCCTTGTTTTTGTGGTAGACCCAACACGTTGCTGACTTTTTGGCCTTTGGCAAGTGCACGAACCAAAAGTGCAGTTCAACTTGTTGTGGCCCATAATATACCGAGGGTAACTTTATAGACGCTTAGCAATTATGGCCACGCCAACTATTTTACCCCCTTTCCCAGTTTTATTTTCTGGCCTTCAAGGGACGTGAATTTTGTGTCCATTAAGTGGTTCAATGCTAAACGGTTGGTGGTCCGGCGAAAGGGAAAGGTTAGCACCCTATCGATCAGTTTGACCATTTCAAGTGTAAAAAACTGCCCCGAGTGATAGAAGCGTTTAAAATAAAAGCCGGTTCAATTGGGCATAGGTTTGTAGAAGTGTTTTTGAATGCCGTGTTTAGCCACCAGTTTTGGGTTACTAAACTTTACCTAGAACTATGTTTTAGAGTCGAAAGTATTACACCGACATTAAAAAAAAATAAAAAAATACTTTCTAAATTTACTAACTTCTAATTTAGATATTTTGTACATCATTTTTCATTTCATTTTTATAGTATATCAATTTACCTTACAATATACGTTTAAGCCTGGGCTTGGTGTATTTATTTCGATATTATGTAAGTGTTATTAAACTAAAATAAAACAATCGACAACCATTGACACTATCAATAATCGAGTCGTTATTTTCTTAACCTGTCACGGTCTTACTAACTTACTAAATATGATAGTCATTCTTTTTTGACATTGTAAAAGGGAGAAACGAAAAAATTTAACCTTATACGGAATATTCCGATTTCCTTCTTAATAAAAAGAAAACGAGAAAGCGGATTCGGCCATAATGAATAGCTTAACACTCCTTGAACCAGGTATGAAAATAATGTGGCAGTATCCCTACAGACGGTTACCAAAAATTGCGAAAAAAATATTCTCGATTTCTTAGATATTAACAATGAAAAGTGTTAGACTTGTATTCTCCGTATTAAGATTTATAACCATATTCCAGATCTAGATTCCATCGATAACTCATTTGCAAGGCAGAATGAGGAAATCAAAATTGAAGCTGAGTTGCCTGCTTCAACCTCCAATGTTGAACTAGCAGAGATTTCTGAAGAGGAAACCTCCTTTGAGGAGCAAACCGACTCCGAAGATCTCAAACAATGGGTGAAGAGCCTGATTCCCAAGGATGCCATTGCGGTGGTCAACGAAATCAAGGAAATGTTTGTCAGCAACAAGACCATAAAACGCAGTCATGATGGCAAGATCACGGCCCTGATGACTATCAACTCAAAGAAGTTTGAAGGCGATGGATTGTCGAAATATGCGGCACAGTCAGCTGCCTGCGAGAAGGCTTTGCGCGATTTCTTCTGCGGAAAGCTAAACACTCAAACATGTCAGGAAGAAATACCAGTACTTAAACTGGCCTCATTTGCAATTCATAAGCTGTACGAGGAGTGGCAGATCGATTATAAGGCCAAAATGCAAACTCTCATAGCGATGCCAAGGAAGCCGTTAGTACGCTCGCAATTGCCCGACGACTGGAAGAAAATTCATCCCACTTCGGTTCTGAAATATATGCGCCCGTTCACCATCTTCCATTATTTAGGATACACTGGAGTATTTCCAAACCTACTTTTCAATATGGGTACCAAAGTGGATAACCAGGAATTTGAGGCTAATGGAAGCTCTAAGAAGAAGGCACGCCGCAATTTGGCCGTGCTGGTGTGCAACACACTATTTGAAACCGACTTCATTGTAATCCGTTGAATGGAAAATAAAGAACACCTTTTTAGTACTCAAACCTGCTGCAAGTGAAGCATTTTTCAATCAATGTTAAACTCAAAAATAACATATACGTTATACATTATAAATACATGGCTGGATGAATTTTAGCCTTTAATTTATATAGTTCACCTGAACTCTTAGCAGAAGTTTAGCATTGCTGTAGTACTGAACCCTTTCTAACAAATTTTAATTTAAATCTTTTCTCATTACATCCCCCAGAACCAATCCAATTATTTGCATTCATATTTCAGTCTTCCATTTTTCCCCTGTCATCATAGAAAGACAAACAAAAAAGCGACCCAACAAAGATCTTGGATATTGAATTTAATTAAAAATGTTCATGACAGTTCAGCCAGCTTATTATCCTGTCACACTGACTGAGCAGTGCGAAAAAAAAAACAGAAAGGGTTGTAAAATGAAAATGGAAAATAATTTCCACAAACTTAATTGAATTCGAATTGGAATTGTTCCGCTGGAATTGCAAGTTCTCTAGATAGACAGAAAAGGGACAACGAAGAGTGGTGTTAATTTTATTACACGGTTCATCAATATCCAGCTCACTTCCGTTTGGGTTTATTTATGGTTATCCCTGGGAAATGGCTGCCCAGCCCCCTTTAATGACAATTAACATTTTTCTAATGGCCGGCAATTAGAGGAATCCCGGGCTTTAAGCAAGATTTATTCGAGTGATGGGGGACCACAGCCACAAGTCGAAGAAGCCAAGTTCTCGCACAATGTTGGCCTTATTATTACATTGTTTATGAGTGCGACTTCGCCTTGGCTTTCTCCCCGCTCAATTTATTGTTTTATGTTGTGTTGTTCTTGTTGCTGGCTTGTTTTACAAGACCGTCTCGCCATGTTTACTAGTATATGTCCCAGCCAGCCTCCCAAAAAACCCCCCTCAACCACCCCCCCCCAAAACTCCCCAAACCACCCCATTTTGAGGTCGCAGCATCTTGCGGTTCGCCTCAAGTCATATTTCCTTATTATCAGGGCGGTTTTTGGCTTTGTTTTTTCGCCGCCCCTTGACTTTTTTGCGGCTGACCTTACGAAAAAATGGAATTATTAATGGCCTCGTCCATTTGCTGCTAAGTGGCGCAAATTGTGTGTTTGTTTATATCATTTGGCAGGCCAGGGAATCTTAAAGATTTTCTTTTTTTCAAGATTCTTCCGGTTACTTTAAGTAAAATTGACGGTGGCAGTCAACTGGGTGGAGAAAAGTTTATGGAGCGCATTGAACCTTCCGCTTTGTTAATGACCCTTAAAGTTCAAAGAAAAAATATAAGTAAAAATTGAGGGATATATTTTGTATATAAACTATGCACTTGTTTAAGTAATAATTCTGAGGTATTGGGAAAAATTATATCCTTAAAGATAAATAAATCGCCAATAGAAATATGGTACTTTTTTAGTGTAAGCTTCTAAAGGAAGGTGGAACTATTATTACAAGAAACCCCATTTGTAAAGTAGCTCTATAAATCAAATAGCGCTAATTAAAGTGAACTAATTAATAATAATCCTCGAGCTTTAGTCCCCCGAGTACCAGCTTAAAGTATCAGTCATCCCAACCTCCTCTCTTGCATAACCTGGTCAATACCTCAGAAATGGCCAGCACCTTTCATATAGCGGTAACACAAGCCTTGCGTAACTTTCTCCCCGCCCATTTTCCCCAGCCCGCCCCCATTGCATTAATTACCGCATTGCATTAATTAGAGCATCTGAAGGGCGGAAAGGGCAGGCTGTGCTAAATTGCACTTCAAAACGAGAGCAGCTTCCCTCTGGATAAGGATGTGGATGAGGTTTTGGATGTGGATGTGGATGTCCTGGATGTGCGGCTCCTGTGACTCTACCTCGATTTCTCCTGCCCCTTCGAAAGTCCCTGTCGTAAAGTGTTTGCACGTGAGTTTGTGGGCGCTGATTGAGAGTTCCTGCCCCCAAACCCTTTGCACTCACACATTCGCACTGGGGAAAGGATAAATGAAGGACGACGCTTAGATCTGACGTTGAAAAAGAGAGCAACCAGCTCAGCATTACTTTCTTCAGCACTGAGGAAAATATAATGAACTAGAAAATATTACAAAGAAATAGTTAAACAATTTATCTGTATTTCAGAAAAGTAGCAAAGCCTATTAGGAGTTATTGAAAATCGACAAGGAAATTTTGAGATCCTCTTTAAATATAATTCTGACAACTTTTTTATATTTAAAACCCAAAACTTAGAAAATGGTATTTCAAAATATATAAATATTATATTATTTGTAGCCAGAAATTGTAGTAAATTATATCAGAAACCTTCAATCGTTTTCTTTCTGTGCAGGACTGCATTTTTTGTTGCGCTTTTTTTTGAGGTTTCCGGCGTAGTGTTGTTCAAGCGCTTTGGCAAATATTTGATTTTAATTTTTCCAATTAATTGGTTTTCCATCACAAATTTAACGTCCTACCAGGTCCGATTAATCTATTCTTTTTTACCCACCTCACCTTCAGGATTCAGAAAAAATTGCATTTTATTTGCTTGTTTTCTCCTGTCTGACTTTAAATGTCTGACTTTAAGGGAGACCAGAACGAAATCGTGGTGTAAACACAAAAACTTTGTCCTGCAACCGCAAAATGTTGGGGGCGGTGGGGGCGTGGCAAATGTCAACTACAAGAAAATTGTCACTAATGAGTGGTAAAAAGAGCGAGTCGAGAGCAAGGACGCTTTGTTTGCATAGGCCGAAAGAGCCGGAAATTGGGGGAAAAACTGAGGGGCAGCTGGAAATTCTATAAAGCGAGTGTCATGGCGTTGGTTCACTGTGTACAGTCAATATTGGCAAATGTGTCCGTTGCACTCAGCTTTGAGGTGGGCCCCAAAGCGAAAGGGTTGCTGCGGCTTATGAGCAGCAAAAAGCAAAAGGCCAAAGGGCAGGGGATAATGAAAACCACGACAAAAGCGCAAAAGTTATCCAGATGCCAAGTAGCCAGGAGTCCAGAGGAGGACCTAAAGGACACTGGGCAACCAGGACTCTCACATATTCGAAACATTAACAGCGAAATTATGCAGGAAAAGGTGAAGGTATGGGTGCAAAAGGTTAAAGGTTTCGGTAAACGATTTTTAAATTGAAAGATGCAATGCATTTTTATATACCAAGCCCTTTATATAAACCCTAATAAATATATTTATAATTTATAACTACTTTTTACTGACAAAATTTATATTATAAATTTAATAAAATCGTAAAATATGTGGGGATCCTATAAGATCACAGTATAATAGTATAACATTGGCTTACATTTTAGCTCAGAAAATATTATATCCTTATCAATATTGAAGAATATTTTAACATTTTGAATATTTAAAAGTAATCCATATATTCGTTACTTTAATATTTAAGAATAGATAATACAAATGTATTAAATAGTTTTACAAAAATTATTATTATTTCAATATTTTCTGTTTTTATTATATTACCATCTTTGTTTTTACCATTAGAGCCCCCAAAATGGAACACCCAGTGATGATTTCCGTGTAAAACTGAACCCCTACCCAGAACTCTTGTGTTTCGTTAATAAGATAAGCATGCAAATGCCCTGCTCCAGCTTCAATTTTCACGCCCATCCATCCGCCCTTTAGTATTTTATTCAGATGGGGAAAAGAAAAGCGCTGAAGAGCGCTGAGCAGTCAATTAACCAGCCGAACTGAGCTGCAGGTGGATAACCATAACCCAGACTTCGGGATGCGGGGCAAAAGCAGCTCTGCCGTTCATCATCGTTTATCTTAATAAACCGCGCACTCAGTCAGACATTAAGCTGGCGAAACCAAAAAGCAGCCAAAAGTCCTTTTGGAAAATTGCTTAATTTGCAGTTGGCACTCGCAGCCAGAAACAGAGTGGGAAAAATCAGATTCAAGGGGAACCACTCCGGCCCGGAGGCAAATGGGAAATGTGGGCGTGGCAGATTCAGTGCAGCGTTAAGACAAACTTGAAGTGCGGCACGTAAAAATGTTGATAAAACGCACAAAGCCAGTTGATGATTTCAATTTATATTTCCAAGTGGAACTCATCTTTAGTGCTGGTCGGAAAAGCGTGGCATTTCCCAGCATTTTCCACCCACCTCTGCCCCCCCCCCCCCCCATTACGCGTTACATGTAGCGAATTTGCTGAAGCATATCACGTGCAACATAATTTTTCCAAGCGACTTGCCACTTGCAAGTGGAAGTAGACAGGGGCGTGGTAAAGGGGGGTTTAGCCTGGCGACTGACATGAATGCTCCGCGTCACCCAGGTCCTTTTTCCCCCTTTCCCCGCTGAGGATGTGTGGCATTATAAGCGTGAAGTAGACTAAATAAATTACATTTGAGCACCAAAGGTGTGGAAACACTGGAAAAATGAGGGAACAAATCAATTTACGAAGGAAACTCTGTTTAAGTGTTGGAAAATTTTGGTGAATACTCTCTTTGAGACTTCAGGAAACTTCAAATTGCATTCAAATAACATAAAATTGAATCTTCAACAGACAGAAAAGTTTAACCTACATATGTACAAGAGAAATTTATACTTTTATTTCCATCGGAATGCACCTGGCCACCTTTCGGATGTCGTAAATATTTAAAAGTAGTTAAAAAATGGAAATAACCATAAAATATGTTTAAGAACTTCCCAAGCAAACCTTATGCAATTTTTACGTTTTCCAACTTCATTCGTATTTAAAGTTCTCATCGAAGACAGGACCACGCCCACTCCGCAGCCGCCTTCTCTTAACTTCAACTTCAAGTTGAAGTTGGGAATGCATTTGGTCCTGGTAAAAGTTTTTGGCAAGCAAATGGAGCAGGAAACAGCTGTCCCTTCATATCTTTTGCATATCAAAAGTATCGACATAAGGAAAAGAGAATATGGGGAGCAGGATAAAAAGGACATCTTTCCAGCACCCGCTCATTCTCTCCCTTTTGCACTCTATTGTGAAATATATGCGAAGTTTGCCCAGGACAGAGTGAGACGGCAAGACACGCCCAAAGATGCT